CAGCTGATATGACAGCTCTTAGTGCCTTTGGGCAAGGCAGTCTCTCCTGGCAGGTCCGTGTGGCAGAAAGCATAAAAAGTGAATTATTCATGGATGAGTGTGGTGTTACTGTGACTATTCCACTTCCAGTCCGAGAGCAAGCTGAGGTACTCACACTGCACAAACTTTCCATGTCTTCCAGCTTCAAAGAGCTGGAGAGATTAGCAGTTTCCTGCACCTGTGAAAGGGGAAGAGTTTTTGGGTGTTTTAAAGCTAGTGAGGAAAACAAAAATAATGAGGACTGCAAGAGAATCTTAAACAATTACTGTTTTTGGCATTAAGTAGCTCAAACCCAGGGCAATATTAGTTGAATTGACAGGAAAGTGACAGTCCTGAGTCTGAGGAGAACAGGTCCTGATGGGACTCAGAGGGGGTTTAGGTTGTCTTCTTTCTTAGGAATTGCCTTCTCACAACAGATGCATGATTTTGGACTTGAGTGAGCATGTGAGCATTTGTAAATTTGAAGATCTTAAAACAATAAGCCAAAATAACTTTATAAAATGTATTGCCTCATGTGGTCAACCTTCATAGCATATCTCGTAGCAGGATAAAGCTCCCCTACTTTATGTTTGATCCCCAATGAACAAATGAAACCTAATCTGTGTGGCAGGGACTCAGTGACCCTTCCTTTGTCTTTCCTCTGTGTTTTCTCATAATTAGCACTGGATATCCAGTCCCAGATAATTCAATGTGATACTTCCCTTGACTTACCCTCTTCCTTATTTTATCCCACAGTCCTCCAACCCTGTTCAGCGTCATAGCTCTTTGAGTTTAGGCGGGACAGACAGTGAAGATGAACAGGTAAACAGCTACTTTTCCTGCTAATAAACTTTCCTGAGACAGCATGTGTGGTGTCTGTATGGAGCCAGTACAATAATCTTTTTTTTTAATGTATTCTGGGTACAATGTATCCTAGCAAACAATTCATGAACAGTCCAGAGTGATGCAAATGATACTGAAAATGTACCTCTCTCTCTGAGTTTTGAATAAGAACCAAATAAAGAGAGGCAGCAATCTACTGGTAAGTGGTTCGTGTGAACAGCATAGTCAACTCTGTGACACAGTATAAATCTGTAAAGTTACACAACAGAAAATTGGTCACGGCAAAGCACTTCAATTCCGTTTCCATGTCCCAGGGCCCCAATACCCAACAGCAGTAATAGCTTAATAACACCTGCCCGCCAGCAGTGGCTTGTGAGCAATGCTGTGAATCTCTCTTATCATGGGAAATAGTTGCAGGATGAGCCCTTTCTGACACCAGGTATTCCACAGGAAAAGGGGTGTGTTCATTTGCAGTTTTCTTTGGATGATAAGTGACCATCAGCAGCAGCAGGTTCTGCTGTCAGACCAACACAGTCTGTTCCTTAACCAGCTTGGAAAAATTTACAGAGGTCGTATTTTTGGAGAGGAGCCTAGGGGACCTTCACCTTGACTGTCCCTGCTGCTTGAAGCTGAGTTGAGTTCCTGCCCATCTCATGCTTTCAAGGCAGGCTGCAAGGTTTGCTTATGTTGCCTTTCTCCAGTGTTAATATAATGTCTGAAAGGCCAGTCAAACCACAGTTATGCCCATGGGGTCTTCAAATGCCAGTGACAAAGGCAGCCACCACTCCAACAGGGCTGATTTGTTTCATGGGATAGCCCTTGCAATTGTATAAGCAAAGTAATCTGCCATTTAGCTGAGAAGGGGAATATTTATGGGCCCAGAACAGCTATGGGCCATTTTGGCCCAAGCTTTGCAGTCCTCCATGCAGAATCCCTGTTTGAGAAGCTCAGCAGAGAGAGCACAGTTTAACCCTTTGTGAAACTGAGAATAGCCCAAAGTAAAGGGGAGGTAACAGGGTACCTAGAAGATTCCTTCGTGATGAAGAGGGCCTTAAGCAGCCAGGGCAACATCTTGAGGGTCAAACCGTTAGCGCCAACCCCACTGCTAAGGAAGCTTTCCCTTTCACTCTCTCTTTGGCCAGCCTTCTCAAAAGGAGAGAGCAACCTTTGGGCAAGACCAGCTCAACGTTCCTGTCCATGGTTGAGATCAGACACTCTCCTGCTCAGTCATTCCTAGATCTTTTGCTTTAGGGATAGAAAGATAAAGCAATGTCTCGCCCTCATAGTAGACTACTAGTCACACAACTCTAGAGGCCCAAGTGATCTAGGGAACTTGGATTGTTATTAGTTTTAATAACTTCTTGTATATATTTTATCATTACTTCAATGTACATTTTATTAACTCATCTCCCGTTTTATATTTTGACTAAAATGCTCCATTTTGTAAGCCCTCATACTGTTTTTTCCTTACAATGCAAGAAGCCCTTTTCTGTCCAGTTCTGAAGTCTTTGAGCTTTTTCAGTCTTACAACCTCATCTCCTATGAGAAAGACAGACAGGGATGGGAGAAATTTTTTTCTCTCTTCTATATTGCACAGAATTCCCCACTTAAAGGCTCTTCCTTTTTTCCCCCAACTCACTAGGAATCTGGCTAGCTTCTCTACAGTACCATGTGTGTTCCTTTACCCAAATATTTTTCTTAGTCAGCAGTTTGGCTTAGCAGAAATCTTGCCAATATGTTTATCTAAAATAAAAAACCTTTTCCTAAATAATCATCATTTTTTTCAGTAGCTTTGGAAACTATTTATGTAATACCAGGATTTGAGCTAGCAGAACACAAGTTGTTAAACTGAATAATCTGATTCCAAAGATGAGGAAAATTATGAAAAGCACCAAGAAATCTACACCAGTTATTCCATTTAACAATGTTGTATATTTAGTAAAGGAAAAAGAGGATTTGATCCTAAGCAGTCTGAAGTTATACACAGTGTAGTGGTTTACATTTTACTATTTTATTGATCTTGCTGCAGATGATAGTTACTTCATTTCTTTGCCTTCTGCTGCTTCACTGGGTTTTTCAAGAGCTTCATGCTGCTGTCACCTCTGTGCGAAACCCTAATGTGTCACCCATGTAACTTCTCAGTGCCTTCCACATTTATAAATACCCACTTTCTGACTAATCTAAAGCTAAATGTGAGGCTGTTGCTCAAAGCGAGCAGCAAATGACTTCACAGAGACATTAACCAGCATTACCCTGCCTTTGCCAGATAGCCTTTACGGAAATCTAACTTCCTTGTTGGCATCTTCAGCCCGGACTGGTTAAAAGCAAAACAGGGTCTCAGCGTGTGGGGCTGAGGACAGTGCTTTGGCACAAACACTCTTTAGGAAATGGGCCTCCTAGCTGCAGCGTTCTCCTTGTGCAGGCTCCTGTAACTGCAATAACCAACAAACACCAAATTTATCGTGCACTTAAACACTGGTGTGGAAATCCTGTGTCTGCTCCACTGTCTTTGAGAGAAGATACCAACTGTCAGTCAGTGCTCAGAAAAGAAAATATCCTGAATCCTCAGTGGAGTAGGGAATTTGCCATTTATGTACAGCAGTAGCTCAGATACTAGCTTCAGGTGTTTTTATATTAAATAAGCACACCTGTAATTTTATAATTGAAAGGCAGAGCTTGTATGTAGAAATGAGTAACAATGTTACTATTTTTGTAAGTTCTAGTGATCCTTACAAGTTTATCATTAATCTTGTAGAATTAAAACAATAATTAGCTTATTTACTAGCTGTGTTCTTCTTTCTCTCTTTCACAGTGTGTAAATTTTTCACGAGAAGAGTCTGCATCTGTCATAATACATTCTGTTGTGGTTTATTTCAGATCTAGGAACTAAAAAAATTCAATGGAGAGTAAGGAAATGAATTTTAGCTACCTTAAACACAAAGCAATGTACCTAGACAATTTTTGTAGATCAGATGGAAAGATGCTTTCATTATCTTTAAAACTTCATCAACATATGTGTTTTAAATGCTGTGTTATATCCTAAGCTTAAACAAAACTAAAATCTGAATGCCAAGCACAGTTAAATGGCTGTGTTTCACCTAGCTTTATGGCCAAAGCCAAAATAGCAGGTATGTTATACTGAATGAAGTTTGTTTGGCATGTCTGTGAAATTTTGCAAATGTTCCAGAAAGTCTGGTCTACATTTCAAAACAGTAACAAAACCAGTCAAACTGCATGTTTAGGGGTTTCTCTGCAAACGTTTCTGTAAACCCTTTTTTTTTGATAGCATAATCTAAGGTTACTGCTGTTTAGTTCCCCAGAGTAGTGTTGCTGCAAGGGTGAGATCCACATCACTGTCTGGAAGATAGTTCTGGGATACTTGTTGGAGAGAAGCATTTGATTTTTCTGGGAGAGCGGATATTAAAAGAGCAAAGGGGCTATGATAACTTTCTTAGAAATAGAGGTAATGAGGAGCAAGTATCGATGCTACTTTCGTGGCTTTTTAATAACATTCCTGCAATGTGTCACAGTACTGGGATGAAAAGGCAGCTATAAAAACTACACCAGTGTCTCCTGCTGGTGCATACATATATTGCAAATGGTTTTTCAGCTAAGAACTGGGAAGGGGACAGCTGAGGCTCTTACTGTGGGAGAGAGAGGTATTTCTCACTTTTGTGTAACATACAGCTGAACACACAGAATTGAGTAATAGCTATGCAGAGACGACATTAGGCATGCATTTTAAAGTGAGGATTTATGTCTGAAAATACAGCCATTTCAGGCTTCTGAAATGGAATGAGCTAGCAAAGGAATTGTTTCAGGGATGTGGGGAAGCCAAGCAGAACGTATAGTGTCGTGTTTGTGTTTTACAGATACCTTCTGGAGCTTCTTCCAGGCCCATCAGTCCGTCATCCTCTGCCACTCTGGGGGCCCCCGGCTCACGAGGCAGCAGCTTCCTTCCCGTTGACTTCACCATCCCTGCCAGTCCCCTTGGCTGCCTGGACACCTCAGCAGCCAGGCACAGGATTGCCATAAACCCCCGGAAACAGAAAGGCTTTACGAACAAGAATCAGCAAACCCCGCAGGTAAGTGTTTTCTGAAAAAGAATCACTGCGCAGAAGGAAATAGATGTGAATTTTTAATTATCTTTTAAAATATTTTTTCCATTTTTTTTTCTTTCCTATCAACATTCCTTTACTTTTTTGTCCTTCCATTGGAAGAAGGGATACCACCTATTTTCCACCAACCAATCCAACAAAAAATACTCAGAAAACTTCAATATCATGGGAGCTGAAGAAAAATGCAACTTTAGTTTTTCACTGTTTAACCAAAAAAGTTGTGGGTTACACTTCATTTGTAAAAACATTCCTCTTGTTTGAAAAGCTAGTTTTCAGTTTTAAAGAACCCTAAGTCTATTTCTACAATTTCAGATTAGCTTTAACTTAATTCTTTGTATGTCAAAGGAAAGACTGAAGGACTTTGGGAAAGAATGTGGCTCTGCATGTGAGAAATTAGGATGAGATGCTTCTCATCCTGGCTTCTAGGAAACACTTTGTGAAGATGAAGTTCACTAGGTAGAAAAGGTTGTTGAGTATTTCTGTTGGGTGACAGAAATAAGAAGTAATGCTTCTGTACTGCGTGTTTCCCTCTCCATCAGAGAATCATGAGTGAAAATCTGTCCTGGAGTTAGAAGTGCCCTGCCCTGAGAAAGGGAGGTGGGGGAGAAATTCAGGATGAGTGTAATACAGAATGAGGTTTTCTTGGAAACTTGGGCCCTACAGCATCTTTGCTGGATATTCTTTGTGCTGCAGCTGGTACAACTACGGTGCTGAAGGAGAAAAACTAATTGTGGAGTGTCGATCAGAGATACCAGAAGTGATGATGATGTCTCTGGCTTGGTCTGTTCTATGCCACCAGGTAGCTTGGGTGATGTCTTACAAACATACTCGTTCACTCAGAATATGTCAATCCCAGAATGTTTCAGATTCAAGAGAGATCAATGGGCTGCCTTTGACATTTTAAACATGAATGATTTCTAGGTTCTTAATCGGAATAGTACATTACCCACAATGTTGGTAAATTACAGGGTGGGGGTTTTGTGTCTATGTTTTGAGTATTCATAAATGTGTGTGTGTGTATAAAATACAATTTTTGTGCATTATTCTTTAATTAAAAGATCTTACTGCACCTCATTAGGTGGAACAGCTGGAAAATGAAGCATGTCTTCCTGCAACTCCAGAAAAGAAGGGAAATTCAACAGAATTACTTGAGGGTGACGAGCATAAAAGTGATTGGGAAGGTAATGCAGACTTATGTATTGCTACTTTGGGTGCTTGAACTCTTCTACGCAAGGCTGACAGGACCTATTTGAATTGTAAGCCCTATTAAGCTAGGCATCTTTTGGTTTTATATCATAAAACCAATCCTGGCTGCTAAAGTGTTATGATGGAAAAAGTCATGTGCTCCACTCAACACAGTGGTGCTGAAATGGTGAACTTTGCGGGCAGCATTAAAAAAATACATGAGGTGAAAGTACCATGTTCAGAAGTACCTGTGCTACACAGTTGGCTAGATCTCATTGACTGGGGATCCGAGTTCCTTGAAACTCAGAAAAACCTTAACCTCAGCATTATATCTGTTATGTGTGTAAGGTGACTTTAATTGGCTTGTGTTTACTAGCTCTTCCTTTGCCACCTCCCCCTTTATAATTTGAATAATAGCTAATTGCCAGTGGTAACACAATTGTAATTGTAAATTGTGAAAACAAATGAAATTTCTCCAAAACAGCACCGAAGACTTTTCTCTTTAGCACTGCATTACAAATGCACTGGCTGATGGTAATGCTATAGTGTAGTGGGAATGCTGGGTTGGCACTTTGTTGTCAGGGCAGACTCAGGACCTGATGCTGTCACACATCAGAGTTACTGTGTGTGCAGACACATCTAAGCTATCCAGACGTGCAGCAGCCCTGCTGGAGCTGCAGGAGGCAGAGCTACCTGATGCTGAGATGTTCTGCTTAAATACAGAAAATTCTCCAGATCATTCTAGACAGCCTTTCTAGGCATACACATGAAGAAATGTCTAGGGAAATCTGGCTAGTAGTCTTATAACTAGGGGTATGTACAAGAAAGAAAGAAACAGCAACTCATTTGGTACACCTTAAGCAGACAACAACAACTTTCAGTCATTCCTGGGATTAGGTATGTTCAAGCTGAAAACTTTATTAGTCTCCTCGCTTGGACAGCCCATTTCTAAATATGCTTTTAACAGCCTTATTTATTAGACAGCGGTGGCCAGATATGGGGAACTCATGCTGAATGACTGCACTGTCTGGAATGAATTACTGATACAGATGGTGCTTGAATTGTAACTTTTAAGTGCACCCTCTTCTCCTCTCTTTAATATAGGATTATCAGCCCAGGTGGGACACTGTGCAAAGGGAAGTGGTTCTAAGGAGACACCAGGTATAAAAAGTCCCACTGATGCTGCCCGTGACTTTTGTGATTCCACACTTGTGGCAGAAGACTCTTGTGCTTTGCTGCAAGAGGATGCGTGCCTTCCAGACATGGACCATCACTATAAAGCAGCTGCACCCCTTCTGAGACCTGAGCCTTCTCCAGTGAACCTGGAGGAACACCACAGTGCAAAAGTGTCGTACTGTTCAGATGAGTCTGCTGATGAATTGAAATTACATCAGCAAAGTACCAATACTGAAGTATCTGCACTTCCAAAATTGCAACAAATTGAAGGAGAAGCTGTTGTGTTTCCAGACGTACTAGCAGCTGACTTGTTTAGCAATGGTGTGGAAACAGAGGGCATAGATATATTGGCAGATATTGCACAGAGGTCCTCAGTAAATTCTGTGGACCCAAACATCAAAGACCAGGGAAAGGGGGATTCACTGTTTATTGGCAAAGTAGAAGCCTGCTTGGGTACTATTGAGAATCATTCCAACCATGCTGTCTCAGATACTGCACCAAGCACTTCACAGGTTACAGTACCTGATTCAGAGTCATCTGACATCAAGACAGTGGCTGTTTTGAAGCCTGAAAACAGTTCAGTAACAAGAAATGACAAAGAAACTTGTGAAATAATGGAATTTCAGTCATCCAAAGGCAATGCAGAAAAAAAAATAGACACTGCTGCATCTATCTCGGAAGCAGGTTGCATGCTACCTCCCAGTAAATTGGAAGTATGTTTTAAAGCAGAAGCTGTTTCTGTTTCGAAGGGTAACCAAGGCAGTCAACGGGCCAACACATCATACATTTCTGAAAAATTTTCCATTGGATGTCTTGCCTCTTCAAGTTTGGCTGGCTTAAAGAGTAATATCTCTTCTGATGATGACAGTAAGGAGTACCAGATAAGCAGTACAGCTTCTCACAGAAAAACAGTGGAAGACAGTCGATCTTCAGATGAAAATGTAAAAAGTCCACTGAAGACTGCTTCTGCTAAACCAGTCAGATTTACTATTGCACCAGCATGGCAAAGATCTCTCTCAGGGGGTTCAAATTCAAAGGAAGATTCCTATACCAGAAGTTCCCCAACGTCCCCTATAAGACCAGAGTTGTTTGAAGGAATGACAAAAGAATACACACGTTTTGATGCAGTCATCCAGGAATCAGCAAAAACTAATGCAGATAGATTTGATCGAGATTCTAAGGACAGTGATTTGCACTTGAATTCTTCTATGGAGTGGGCTGACCATGAAGCACAAAATGTTGAAAACCCATTTGGGGTCAGACTAAGGAGAACATCTTCTTTACTAAAATACCAGAATGAAAGCCGTGCTGAGTCTCCAAAGCTGATCCCCTCAGCTGTTCCCACTGCTGCTTCTGCTTCAGTCAAGGAGGATCAGAAATCAGTGGGCACTGGGAAGCCACCTCCAGGCCTTCCTGTCAGCACAAAATCAGTTGTTAAAAAAACAGATCTCCTAGAAGACAAAAATCCTCCCAAGACAAGATCAGAAGAAGTGGCAAAGAAGCAAAATGGTCATAAACCTTCAGGTATTTATACTGTATTTTTATCCAGGTGTTGTAGAAAACAGTGGTCATGTAAGAACCTTGGCAGAGTGGCAAACAAAAATTAAAAATCCTCTTGATGAGGACCAAATTCAGCCTTGAGTTCGTCAGCACCATAATTTAATTGGCTTGATGATTTGGCCAGTCAAGAGAATTCTTGGTTTATCTTAATGAGGGGTGTGTTCCAGCAAAAATAACAACAGAATAATAGCTTAAGAGCCTCTGAAACATTTCTGGTATGACCTACTTGTGCATATAGTTGGAGTTTTAATACAGCTTTTTAAAACTTGCTGCTGTTTTGTAGTTAATTTTCCAGATGGCAGCAGCTCAAACCTTAACTAGGAGTTGCATTAGGTGTGATTATTTTTTTTTTTCCTACAACCACTTCATTTAAGATATTTAAAAAGTGAAAAGGCAGCCTGTATTTTACTGCCTACGTGAAAAAATAATGGTTATCATACTCATTTAATCTGCAATGTAAGGATGTTGTTTCAAAGGCAAAATCCGGTTCACAATGATCTCAGTGGGAGTTATGCCACTGACTTAAACGGAAGCAGAGTCAGGTCAAAAACTCCAGAATAAACAGAAAAACAGTTACTGCCAAGGACAAAATCATCAGGGAAGGTAATTTTATCTCCGCAGTGTTCAAAGGGTATTACAGATGCTGAAGGATTTAAAACATAAAACACTAGCTTTAGACTGACTTGACCTAAATCCCTTCTTACTTCAAAAATGGTTCTTTTGTAGAAAAAGTCTCCTCTCCACATTTGGAAACTGCTTCCTCTGAACCAGCTTGGGTCTCCATGGCAAAACTAAAACAAAAGGGTTTCCAGGACCACCCTCTTGCCAAAGAACATAAAGTTGAAGACAAAGCTTTGACCAAAGTGGATCAAGAGGAGGTAGAGTACCAAGTAATGTTGCATGGGTGTGAATCCTGCACCGGATTGCCTGGGTACTTTTGTAAACTTTTCAATATCATCTTCCTGGGAGGCGCGCTGTGAGCACTACTCAAAGAGAGATTTTCAGGACTGGCCTCTAAAATGTATTGAGACAGACAACTGATGCAAGTGAGCGAACACATACTGTCACAGTGATTAGTTTCAGAGCTGGATCCTCCTATATGTTCCTTTGCACTACTCAAACCTGAACCTTTTCAGAGCTTGCCTATTGCCCAGAATGTATTTATGTAGCCCAAGAGCTGCTTTGAGTTGCACTAGCTTCCTCACTGTTAGTGACCTACAGACTGCATTCACTGCTCTGCTCTGGAGACTGCGTACTGAAAGTTTGGCTCTTCCAATGACTCTTGCACAAGGCAAGTTCTTCAATTCCCCATCCGTAAGAGAGAGAGGATAACTTGCCTGCATGTGAAGTAACCCTGTATTTGTAGCAGCTGTCTTCTTGCCTTTTCCTTCCCTCCCTCGCTCCCTCCCTCGCTCCCTCCCACAGGATGTCCCCAACCATCCTTGTCTGGCTTTTGCTGCATTTCCACAGTTAGGTTTAGAGATGTTGCCAGGGCGAGCTTTATGAGTGCCAATGGCTAGCGGGTTTCTTAGTTGCATTCTTTTCTTCTCTCCTCCTTTTGTAGCAAGGGATCTGTGCTAGTGAGAACATACTGAAGAAGAATATGCCTTCCAGCTTGAGTTCTCAGGACAAGAAAACGCAAGTGAAGACCAGTGTGTCTGCTGCAGCAGGTATTCTCTTTCTTTACATCTTTACATAGAGGCCACGGTTTACACCAGTAAGTGGTATGGGTGACAGGTAATGGAGGGAGATAGCTACCTTTTTGATAATCAGCACACTTTATATAAGGCCTGTTCAGACTATAGTTTGTGTATGAGTCAATGTATTGGCTTGCTCACTCAGCAGAGAAAGCAAGTGAGGAACTTCTATCTCCATTGCTAGTTCATGGAATGGCATATAAACAGTATGGTGATTTATTACTGGCAAAGGTCAGTACTAAAGAATAGCAGTTGAAGTTGGAGAGTGTCCAGAAGAGAGCAGCAAAAAAGGTCAGGTCTTCTAGACCTCCAGTCAGCCAGGAAATACTGATGGGAGTGGAGTTGTTTAGTCTAGAGAAGACAACTTAATTTGCTGCAGAGGACAAGACTAGTCTTTATGCCCTGTATGAGCTTAAAATGCACCAGGGGAGGTTTAGCTTAGACATTAGGAAATACTTTCTAACAATAAGAGTGGTGAAGTGTGGAATAGCATAGGTTGCTTACAGAGTGTGTGCAGTTTCCATTGCTGGATGTGTTTAATAGATAAACATGCATCAAGAATAATTTAGGTAGAGTCAGTTCCACCCTTAGATGAACACAGAGGCTCGATGGCTCTTCTCCTGCCCTGTTAGCTGTGATTCTCTATAAGAAAGATGCAGGGGAAGAGCATGACTCAGACATCGTGACTCACATACCTCTTCCAAGGCTACTGCTGGGCTGCAGCTTATCCCTCCCTGCTTACGCAGTGTGGTGCCAAACCTCAGAGACACGCTCCAGCTAGATATAGATAAGCCAGTTCTTCAGCTGTAAAAGCATATTGTGCTAGCTGAAAGCTATTGATTTCAGATACTGCCTGAGAAGATAAGAAATGCCTCACTGTGTCAGAGCAGTGAGTGGCTTTTCCGTTCCAGGTTCCTGTTGCTGACACTGTGAGTAAGAGATACTGTCTGGAGAGAGCGCATGCACCTGGCCACTTTCCCCTTATAATGCACCAGCATCCAGAATTGTTGTATTAGAGATATTAGATATATCTGTGCCTGCTCCCTGTAGTAGTTGTTTATAGAGCTGTTACCCGTTTTTGAATCTACAGGTCCTACAAAATAAGCTTTCTCCCTTACTACAGGTAGCTGACCAGCTGAGGATGTGCACCAACGCAGAGGCTCTGATGTCAGTTGCCAGCCTAACTGTGTGTGTGTGATTAAAATACGATAGTTTTTTAAAAGGATTCTGTTACAGGCCAGGTTCATCTTATGGTTTTAGGTGCAAAGTGAGAAATGAAACGTAAACAGGCCAAGATTTTTGCCCAGATTAGAAGGTCTTCCTTTGAAAGGCTGGCACAAACAGACTGGATTTCTGTGTTTTGAATCATCTAAACCTTGGAAGCCCAGCAGCATTCAGTCAAAATTCAGAACTCCACAAAGTACTCTGCTACTCATTTACTAGAACTTACACCACTTGTGGTCCTTGCAGCAGAATTACAAGTTTTTCTGCATCACTTCTTCCCAAGAATTGGCCTGGTTTCCTGACATCTAATGACTGTTTCCTCCCCTGCAGGGATAGCATTTATAGGCATATTCTAGTCTTCCACTCCTTGAATATCACAAAGAGCTCTGACCAGTGTTGATGTTTAAGGAAAACACTACTCCTCTACTGCTCGGAAAACCATGCCCTGTTGTTTAGGAAATGTTCAACACTGTCAGCACATGAGTAGGAAATTGGGAATACCAAATGTAAACTCTCCTCTGATTGGTTCCCATTAGCACAGCCAGCAATTTGTCTAGTTGAAAGTGCTGCTGGTGGAAAGGATGTAGATTTAATATCCAGATGAGTTATTAATTTGGATCATGCTTTTTGGCTTATGTTAACTGTTAGCAGTTTTCTTGATGGATGGTTGAGGTTTCCTGTGCAATGCATACATCCTGCACACAACAGCAAGAGCCAGGACAGCTCAAGGTTAGCTAAGTTTGGAAGAGAATTCCAAGAAATCAGATCCTTACTTTACTGAGTGTGACTGTTTTGTTACTGCTGTGTGGCAGCCCATGTCATAACCAAAGGAAGATTACTTAGAATCATAGAATCATTTAGGTTGGAAAAGACCTCTAAGATCATCAAGTCCAACTGTTAACCTAGCACTGCCAAGTCCACCACTAAACTATGTCCCTAAGTACCACGTCTACACGTCTTTTAAACACCTCCAGGGATGGTGACTCAACCACTTCCCTGGGCAGCCTGTTCCAATGCTTGACAACCCTTTTGATGAAGAAATTTTTCCTAATATCCAATCTAAACCTCCCCTGGCACAACTTGAGGCCATTTCCTTTCATCCTATCACTTGTTACTTGGGAGAAGAGACTGACACCCACCTCGCTACAGCCTCCTTTCAGGTATTGTAGAGAGCAATAAGGTCTCCCCTCAGCCTCCTTTTCTCCAGGCTAAACAACCCCAGTTCCCTCAGCCGCTCCTCAGAAGACTTGTTCTCCAGACCCCTCACCAGCCTCGTTGCTCTTCTTTGGACACGCTCCAGCACCTCAACGTCCTTCTTGTAGTGAGGGGCCCAAAACTGAACACAGTATTCGAGGTGCGGCCTCACCAGTGCCGAGTACAGGGGCACAATCACTTCCCTCGTCCTGCTGGCCACGCTATTTCTGATACAAGCCAGGATGCTATTGGCCACCTTGGCCACCTGGGCACACTGCCGGCTCATGTTCAGCCGGCTGCCGACCAACACTTAGCTTGCCTATTCTCTCTCCCACTTCACCCTAAGCATGGTGAGGTTTGTCCCAAAGCCCATCTTCCCTCAAATAGGCATGGGGCACTGCTTTTGGGTTTTGTTTTACCTTGTGCTGTTAAGAGCATGCAAAGGGCTTTAGACTTGCTTTTGCTTATTATAAGGAAGGAAGTCTCCCAAAATGTGAAAATTCATTTCCAAAACACTTAAATTCCTACATCACCTTAGCTACTTCTGAAAAATTTGCTGTGTATGTAGAGCTGCAGCCTGTTTTTAATGGATAGTATACTTCCTCCAGTATTCCTAAGTGATTCTTAAGTATAGCTTGCCTCCTGCAAGAACTACCAATGAGCCAGGATTTTTAAAAGACCTGAGACCTCCTGAGGGAACTGCTTTGGCTTTGCTCAGGAGTGTGACTGATGGAGCTGATGGACATTTTCCATTGATTTCAGTGCAAACAAGATCAAGCTTCTTGTACTTAACATTGCTTAAGTCCCCATGTGGCCTCTGTTCTTGTGCTGGAGCACAGCAGCCTCATCATGCCATGCACAGACTAATCAAGTATGAGAAAAAGTTTGAATTTTCTCAGTTTGGCTTACACACAGAAATGAAGTACTGCCTGGGTTGAAATGGATGGAGAGAGCATGATGTTGAAAGACTTGTGAACCATGTCTCGAGAAATGAGAGCTGCATCTGTTCAGAGCTACATTCTGTGAAGCCCCATTCCAGGCTGTCGGTCTGAAGACATCAATCTTGAAAATTTTCAAACAAGATGGATGGAGGAGGCCTTTTCTAAATAGTAACTCAAAGCCATGCAAGGAGTGTTTATCTATATTCCTCCATCCTTTGTGAGGATGACAGGCTTGTGTTAGGCTGCATGAAGAGGAACACCTAGCCCCACTAGAATCCCACCAGAATCCCACCTTCTTGGCTTACAAGTCCAAGAACATAAAGCACTGGTTTGATCCCTACCTAGTGTTTAATAATATTGCTGGAGCAATATTTGTGCTGGCAGTGAAGACTGAAAAAAAATCTTTAAGACTTCTCAGTGTTGAAAAACATATACCAGTTACTTTCAACCCCACAGCAAGCCTGTTGATCCTTGCCCTGCAGATATTTTGTTTCCTTTTTCCTACATACTCAGGAGTCGCAGGATAAGCCTGTGGAACTCCTTGCTGTGCACTGTCGTGGAAATTAAGAGTTTGAAAAGATTAAGAAACGAGTTAGCCAAGAATATGAATTATAAAAATACCTGGGGCTGTAGTCTCCACATGCTCGAAGAATTTTGAAGAACTTCTTCATTTGTCAGGGCTTAGACACTTACTGTTGGGACTGAGGAGAAGATTCTTTTATGGTCAGATTATTCACTAACAGCTTAGTATCAATTTTTCCATTGCAATAGCTAGTCCTTGCCATTGCTGTAGCAGAACCAGATAGTGCTAGCGATACCCAGTTTAACAATTCCTCTGACTTGTTGTTGAGTCACAAACATTTTGGGCTGTAAAACAACTGCTTTAGAGAGAAGGAAATATTATTGGCAGAAATTGAGTTTTTAACTCTAGCCTTCTGATTAGTGACGGATATCTTGTTGTTGGCAGGTAAAGTTGGACCTATTG